TATGCTTCTTTCTCCAAGAAATTCCAAATGTCGTAATACTAGGGGTTTTCGTCTTGAACCTCATCTATAGCAGCAATTGACTCGTAGGCTGGCACAAATTTCTGGTCAATGATGACGGGATACATCCGGACTCCGAATGGGATGCCTATCATGGAAGATAGAGTTGCTAAAGAATCTGCGAACCTGTTGTTCTTTCTTAGTAGATGAGCAAAGTTTAGCTTCTCAAACCGAGGAATTAACAAATCCAAGGTCTGGTAGTACATCATCATCTTTTCTTCTTTGACTTTCCAGTCCCCTTTTGCTTGAGAGACAACAAGGTTCGAGTCTCCGATGACGTCCAACTGTTTTGCCCCTAGTTCCAAGGCCGTTTCTAGACCGACAATGCATGCCTCGTATTCTGCTTCGTTGTTCGAGACTTTGAATCGGAGTTTGAAGGCTAAAGGGATACGGGACTTGTCAGGTGCTATCAGCAGCACTCCTATCCCATACCTGTACTGATTTGACGCTCCATCAAAGTACATCGTCCAAGTTTCATCGTCGATGTGAAAAATGGCTTCATCTAGGAATAAGTACTCGACTGCTTCGCCCCCTTCAACTGGATGGTCGGCTAAGAATTCTGTTACTGCTCTTCCTTTGACTGACTTGCGCGTCACATATTTTAGATCGAATTTGGAAAGCAACAGCAACCAACGAGCTAGCTTACCCGTAAGTGCCAGTTTCTCGAAAAGATATTTGATGGGATCGAGTCGTGAAACCAACATTACAGAGTGAGCTAACAGGTAGTGCCGCAGCTTCCTGGTAGCCCATATCCAAGCTAAGCAAGCCTTCTCCAACGGTGTGTGGCGAGTCTCATACTCTAGTATCTTCTTACTCAGATAGTAGATGGCTCTCTCCATTTTGTCCTCTGATTCTTGCGCGAGCATGCAACCCATTGTGGTCTCGGTCATTGAAAGGTACAACATCAGCGGTCTCCCCGGCTCTGGCGGTGACAACACGGGTGGGTTCTGCAAGTAGTCTTTGATCTGTTCAAAAGCAGCTTGGCATCGGCCGTCCCATTGGAATTTCTTTCCTTTCTCCAGGAGACCAAAAAGTGGTTCACAAGTCAAGGTTAATT